GNATGATCTTTTGACAATTTGGCTGATAACCCTTGTAGTATTAATTTTATATCTGCCGTAGTTTTGATGATTTTTTAGTTAATTTATTGATTAATTATTTCATTCATTCATACGTTTATTCATTCGTTCTTTCATTCATGCCTCCATTCATTCGTTCATTCACTCATTCATTCGTTCATTTGATTCTTACAGTTTTTGTATGACAGACTTTTATGGCATTTTTATAACTCTTCTGCCTTTTATAACGAATATACATTCCACGTGTATTGTATACTGTCCATTTGAAAATTATATTGCTAACTTTCTTGGCGTATTTTATTGATATACCTGTTTTAATTTATAAATTTATACAGTGTTTTTTAATGTTAACAAATTGTTTGGGCGTCTATAAGCTGACTTAATTATTTATTTATCTACATTGCAACGAACACACACATGTCCCAGCCTTTTATGATATGCATTTTTGATAGCTGTGATTTTTAAATTATTAAATTAATTAAAATTTTGCATTAAATTGTGATTATTTATATTGTTTGTTAGTTAAATTGTTATTTGGTTTACGATTGTTATCCATAACATTATTAACGACAACATTGTAGTATATATATAGTATTAGCTATGTTAATAATGATTAACTTCTGTAGTTTCTTAATAAAAATCTGATTTAATCTTATAAAATGGCTTTAGTGTTTGTTTGATATGAAGTTGTTCAGGTTAGAACGTGATTTGTTTGTTTGATCAGATCAGGGGTGGCCAAACCAAAAAAAAAGCCACAAATCCTAAAAAAGATTTTCATGGATCTAAAAAATTTGCTATTTAAGTACATATGCGGCCCTTCAAAGTGAAATAGTTTTCCATGATTTTTTTATATAAGGTTCTCCAGGTGTTTCTTATTTAAATTAACTTTTAGTTTATTGTGAAAAGTGAACTTTAAGGCCGTGTTTATATCCATGCCGTGTACGGTAAAATGTTCGATCGGTGTTGTTTCTCCGTGGTCAATTGCTAATCGTAAAAGATGGTTTGTGATGAAATTTTGTTATGTAAAATTAGCGACGTTCAAAAGGTTATTAAAAAGTTCTTTAACTTTAGCTTGAAATTTTTTCAATTTTGTCATCATTGATATTTATAAAAAAAAAAATAAAATATGAATAAATCTATCATGTCATGCTGATAATATAATAGCCAAGCCAAGCCAACTAGAATCTATCCTGATCTATCAACAATTCCGTTTTCAACATTTAATTTAACAACTATATATAATAATAATAGAGTAATAACTGAAACTGAATAAAACTTCATTTTGAAATTTATTTTTTAAATGTTAACTATTGAATATTTTCATTTAAAAAGTTGTTTTCTGATTTGAGGAAATCACCAAATGATTCCAAAGTTGTTCAAGAGCAAATTATTAAACTTCTTGATGTTCTTCTGTTGGCAAATAGAGAAGAAAATTACAAAGAAATCAGAAAATTTATTTTGAAGTACTATTTTTTAATTGAAATTTACATAAAAATCAATTTTTATTTTATATTTTTTTATTTTATTCAATATTTCAACTTATTCAATTATATTAGTTTTTTACTGTATGATATTACAAAAATTTATTAAATTGGGAAAAATAAAATATTTTTATCAAATACTGTTTTAGTATTATAATGCATTCATCTGCAAAACAGTGAACTATGTTTAGTTGAAAATAAAAGCCACACATTCATTTTTATCAATAATTAGATTATTAATAATATAAATTGTTCCCAAGATTTGAAATATTATTAAATATATAATAATATTATTTATTTAATTTTGACCAGTGGTTTGCAGAAGCTACCAAAAACTCTAAACACTCATTTGTACATTGAGTCCTATATCAAGAAAAAAGTAAGTATGACAAACATGCTCGACAGACTTGATGTTGTAAAAACCATAGAATTTGCATCAACTATCTCATTTCTATGTTCTAACTCTGAAAATTTTAAAAGTGAATCTAAGTCTTATTTACACAGTTAGAAAATTTTTTTTGACTTAATTTGATAATACTATATATGTGTGTGTGGTGTGTGTGTGTGTGTGTGGTGTGTGTGTGTATGTGTGGTGTATGTGTATGTTTTGCGTATGTGTACCTGAATGTGTGTGTGACGCTTTTATTTACAATGCTATAAAATGATTGTTATATTAATTTTTCAATTTAATGCTCATTTAACTTTAACAGAACTTGAAATTTTTCAAACAGATGTGATAAAGTTTTGTTTGGAAGCATTGCTGTTGCTTGATGGAGAGATTAAGTAAATGAATTTAATGTATGAATGTATGAACGAACAAACTGATGAATGAATACATGAATGAGTTAATTAATGAATTGATGAATTAATTTATGCAAAATGCTTGAACCACCAAATGATTAATTTAATAATGTAAAAATAGATGACTGAATGAACAAATGAATGAATGAATGAACGAGCGAATGAATGAATGAATGAACGAACGAATGAATGAATGAATGAATGAATGAATGAATGAATGAATGAACAATATCTTCCAGGGATCATTCTCAAAGTATAGTTGACAAGAACAAAATAACATCAGAAGTTCTGTTGCTCATTCAACTTAGCAACAAAATTCTCCAGAAGATTTTTACATCGTCGTCGTCGTCATCATCACAACAACATAAACCTCATTGTTGTGGCGATATTGTTGAGGATGATAAACCTCATGGTAATAGTAGTAGTAGTGCTACTAATACTAATACCACTACTACTACTGCTGCTTCTAATACTACTACTACTACTACTACTACTACTACTACTAATAATAATAATAATAATAGTATTAATAAATTTATTCATGGACAGTTATTTCTATTAGGAGATAAATTTCTAGATATTTTGTTAGAAGGTATCTGACTTTATTTTACAAATTAATAAATAAAATTTATTTCTTTGATGGATGGATGAATGAAGTAATGAGTGAATGAATAAATTAATGAGTGAATGAATGAATAAATGAGTGAATGAATGAATGAACGAACGAATGACAAAATTAGTACTGGTAATTTGCAAAAATTAACGTACATTCAAGTGTTTTCAATGATGCACATCGTGTGATCATTACATATCATTATATCATTCACATTACCTCATTTAAACAAATAAAATAATAAAAGTAATAAATTTAATATTTTTATTATCATTTATAATAATTATTTATCTTTTTTTCTCGTAGGGACACATGCATTGGACTGCCTGATGATGTCAGCGCATGGGTTAATTCTTACGATAAAATGCTGCCATATGCACAGAGCTAATAATATTGTTAATATTTTTTCTATTCACCTTTAGCTAATTTATCATTATTTTCATATGATTGGAGAGAGAGAGAAAGAGGAAAGAGAGGGAGAAAGAAAGAAAAATGCAAAAGTGTGAGAGAGATAGAAAGAGAAAAAGAGAGAGATAGAGAGAAAAATTACTTTTGTTACTTACATTTATAATAATTAATTAATTACTTTTTAATGATTTCAGGTTTTTAACTTTTTATATGGTAGCACCACTGATGAAATGACAGGGTTCGAAAACGTCACTAAAGGGAATAAACTCTCTAGCCTGCCCGCAACGAGTCAGATTTGTATATTGAATGCCTGCATTACTCTTAATGACGTTGAGGATCTGCTTATGACGTCATCGTCGACGACGTCATCATCATCATCGTCATCTGGATCATCACCATCATCGTTATCGGACGTCATCTTAAGCTTATTAATATCTTCTAAAGAAAAGTATATATGCGTTTTCAATTTATATACATTACATTATACTAATGTGAAAGAATTGAAGTTCTCATGTGAATTAATTGTCTATTTAGTAGTATCCATTACAAATGATATCATCTTGTGTTGTGTTTCACTCGCATTAGATTGAATGATACATCCAGTAAGTTGGTGTACTCAAGAACCCTCGTGATGCTGACTTCAAAAATTGAGTTAGCAATATCAAACTAATTTTATTTATTAAATGTTATTTTCGTTCGCAAGTATTAATAGTAGTGGTTGTAGTAATAGTTGTAGTGGTAGTGGTAGTAGTATTAGTAGCAGTAGTAGTATTAGCAATAGTAGTTGTAGCAGTATTTCAGTATTTATTACGTACCTGGTAATAAATGTGTTATTAATATTTACAGATTATACTTGAAACGTTCGAAAAGGTCAAGGAGTAGCCAAGATGATGAAGATAAAAGTGCTACAGTCACTGATGATGGCGACGATGATGAAAATAAAATGAAGAATAAAAATTGTGATGATTGTATGAAGTATCATTTCTCTGGTGACTCAATTTTTTTCAGATCAATCATTGACTATTCTCTTCATAGTATGGACAGTCCAATCGACGTAATTATAAAAATTGTTTTTCTTTTTTTACAAAAGTTAATTACTTAGTGATGTTATTAATATTCTCATGGCTATATCATTTGCATAATTTATGCACCAGATTATTAGGCACCAATCAAAAGTTATTTTTGACCAGTGCATTTCCTCACATATGCTTCTCTCGGCCAATCACAAATCGGGTTTTTTTAAATAGATTTTTGTTTTTTTTTTTTTTTTGATTTTTTAAAAGATTTTTGTTGAGTATTTTTACGATTTTGGTGTAATTTTCAAGATAAATTGTTTTGTTCACTGTTATATAATTATTAATTCACATTTTTAAAACAGATTTCATTCAAAGATTTGCCAGTAAATTCTTACTCGATTTTGATTGGTCGGCGGCTAGTAAGTACCAGCCAATCAGATGTTTAGTAAAGCACGTTGGAGCGCGGACAATGATTCTGATTCGTCCAAATCTTGTAGAATGCTTGATGTTGGCTTGTGACGATCCATCACTGACCAATCATGTGCGAGAATTTATTTAAATGAAAATAAAATTTTGCGTATTTCTGTCAGAAATAGTTAAAGAGATAGATTACTTTAAAATTAATTTCTATCAATGCTAGCAAGAGAGTAGTAATTCATTTAATTATCTAACTCATCTAGGTGTGCTGGCTATACGAAGAACTACTATCATCATCATTATCATCTACCAAAAGATCAAATAGTAATGATGATGATGATGGTGATGATGATGATGATTATGGTGGCGGCGGTAATGGTAATGATTCTACAAAGTATTTCAATGTTTGGCTAAAACCTCTGATAAATGCTTTACTAAATGGCACCACCAATCAAAGATATTGCATATCGGAGGTATTACAATAATAATAATAATATTATTATTTATAATATTGTTATTACTATTATTATCATTATTCCCCATTTTCTAGAATCTTCTTCCGAAGTTACTCAATAGAAGTAAACCTGCTCTGAATATGATGTTGGAATATATGATCATCAATCGCCATGGTTGTAACGATGATGATGATGATGATGACGACGATGATGATTTTGATAATGATGATGATGATGGTGACGATATTGCGCGCGCGTGCACACACACACACACACACGCATACAGGTCTTTCAGCAACTCACAATCTGAGAGCCATCATAGCCTGCTTGAATCTCATTAAAAATGATTATTATACATCATCACCATCATCATTATCAACATCATTATCTACATCATCACCATCGGCGTTGGGTTTTAATGTTGATGATATGTTGGAGCTTTGTATTATGCACCAAGATGAACAGGTGATGATGATGATTATTATTTTTATTATATTATTATTTTTATTTATGATGATGATGATGTCCCGAACTAATTCCTGACATTTGGCTGTTATAGATTCGCTTAGATGCTTTGTCAATCATCTGCGAACATCGCAAAACGACCAATCCCATTCCTCCTAATCATCTTCTCATCGTCCAATCCTATCTCGAGAATAATTTTAGCAGCCAATCGCCGTTTTTCAGGCAGAGAATGGTCTCCATCCTTAAGAAGGTTGGGGCTTTTGAGAATACTTCCATTGGTCTTTTTGTTAGTTCGTTGATAAGATATTAAATGAATGAATAAATGAATGATCGGAAATATGAATGAAGAAATGATTGATTGGAAAAATGAATGAAGGAACGATTGACTGAATGAATGAATAAGTTGTTTCATCTCTCGTTCACTAGCTTTTCATCAGGCTTAGAGACAGCAGTCAAGTTCTCCATCGGCAAAACAAAAATCGTGATGCAAACCTCGAAAGGAATGATGATGATGATAGGCGCGGTGGTGATGATGATGATGCTAGGCGCGATGATGATGATGATAGTGATCATAAAGATGGACGTGGTTATAACAATGATTGCCAGCCTAACAAAATTTTGAGCTGTTATGAGGTATTAAAGTACATTTCTCGTTATATCCGTCGCCAACAAATCGTTCAAATCATTCGGTTTGATCTTTCAAACATTTCATCCATAAATCAGTCAATCAGTCAGCCAATCAATCACTCAATCAGTCAAAAATCATTTAAACCAATCAATTATTCATTCAACAAATCAATTTTCCAACTAAACAACCAACCAATGGATCGTTCAAATGATCAATCAATCAAGCAACCCACCAATCGACTTTTCAACCAACCAACCAATCAATCTTCAATTTTTCTAGAACTTTCTAAACAGTCTGCTACATAGTTGCCTACTGCATCTGCACTCATCCTCACCTTTCCCATGCGTCACAACATCCTTGACGCTATTAACTACGCTCGTCTCCGTCATGCATGTTGTCGGGAGAGGAAAATTTAATTACGGTTAGTTTTATTATAGTTTTAATTGTATTTTCATTAATATAATTATAATTACGGTTAGTTTTATTATAGTTTTAATTGTATTTTCATTAATATAATTATAATTACGGTTAGTTTTATTATAGTTTTAATTTTTTTTTTTATTATAATAATTCACCAGCCGAATTTGAATGCACAGATCTCATTCTGTCATGTACACCTAGTATATATATATGTATTTAAACCTAACTTTATTCATTCATTTTTTTTTTATATTCTATTTCCCCTAAAGATCTGTCGTTTGCTAGGGGGTCCAGCTTGATCGGGCACATTCCTACTTTTTCTTGTCTGCTCGTTGCCGCCTTTGCCGACTCGTTTGAAAAGAATAGGCGCGAAGCTTTTGATGTTTTGGTATCGTCGGACGCGATTTTTGAAACTTTTAAGGTGTTTTTTGAAAAATTATTTAATTTCTTGAGAGAATTTTTATTGTTTTGTGTTGACTTTTTGAGTTTTTATTTCGAAATTTAGTGTAAAAAGTTAATTTTCAATTGAAATTTTATTATTATTATTGCTTGCACGTTTAAATTTTCATTTAATCGATACCATTGTTAACTTTTTCACACATCCACTGTGGTAGTAGTTGTGGTAATAGTAGTAGTATTAGTAGTAGTAGTAGTGATAGTAGTAGCCGTTGTAGTTGACGTTGTTATAATTACACCGCAGAAAGTATTCAGCGTTCCTGAGTTTTTGAGAATCTCACTGAAACTGAGTGAGAGTGTTCGACCGCAGGACTGCTCCACGGCTTCCTTCCTGTTGAAATATGCCATCAAAAATTTCAACACGAACGACGTTTCTGCGTGTCTGACCTGTCCCCGAAACGACAGGGAAGTTGGCTCTGGAAAAAGTTTCGTTGCTGAGATACAACATCTGTCGGAGAATTCTATCAAATATGTTAATGCGACAGACGATACATCAAAAATAACATCAAGAACTACATCAACAGTGACGTCATCGTCGACATCAGCACTGATATCAACAGCAACAACAACAACAACTTTATCATCAACACCGACAAGAACATCACCTACAAACATAACCACAGTAGCCACCGCAAATGACAAATGTTTACGAATCTTGCAACACCTTACCGGCCAACTTCACCTACACATAGAAAGGGCAAAGGTCAACTTGTTGCACGCATCTGCAACTTCACCAATGTATCCATTGGTGCACTGTATTAGTAGTGTTCTTCTTGAAGTATACTGGCGGTTCGTGTCACTTATAATCATTGCTACTATTAAAGGTTAAAGGTTTCTCTCTCTCTTTTGCGTTTGCTTCAGAGGTTTCAACGACAAACACACACAGCGTACATGAATACGCGTGCAAATCACGCATCTTACACATTGCATATGATAGGCGGGGATCTCTTTGTATTCGAACCCAGTCATTGCAATAGCAAGACCAGGCGCCTTTAACCATTGAGCCATCACGCCGCCAATTACTGCCTGTTTTGTTATAACCTCTTGCTGATGTCCCATCTATTCACATTATTTTTAAACATCTGTTTTGATGAGTTAATAAAAAAATCTATTTAAATTATTTAGCGCAATATCAAGCAACGAAGATATAAAATTATGGAGAGCCCTCATTGGCGACATCGTCGATTGCTGCGTAAATGTTGCCAATATCGTTGCTGTCGTCATCAACAGTTCCAGTCCGGAAGGAAACGTTCCCGATGACGTCAAAGAAGTTGGGTTTTTCCAGGGAGATGATTTAATGGTGGATTTTTCCGACGCGCATCCGTTTATATCAGGAGGAAATAGTGGTGGTGGCGATGAGAATGGGAATGTTTGTGGTGAGAAAAATTCACCAGCTGAAACAACAACCATAGAAAATAAAGTGAAACTGATGCCCGAGTACTTGGTCGTCTGTTGTTGGAGGTCCGCCAAAGAAACTTCACTACTTCTTGGCCAAATAACCTCGCATATCCCTATTTCCGGTTGCTACGACGATGACGATGTTAATGGTAGTGATGATGATGCTACATCCATATTGACACTAAAAACGGTATCATTGATTCATTTTCAACGTTATTAATCTATCTTAGAGATATTTTCTTTAAATAATTCAGCGATCTAAATGTATTTTAATTGTCATCATCATTATTATCATTGCCGTCATCTTCATCACCGTCAATCTCTCAATTACTAACCAGCTGAACAGGATTAGTGATTTTCTTCGAGACCAACTCCTCCTATCACGTCACAGAGGTGCGTTCGAACTGGCCTACTCAGCGTTCGTGCAGTTGGCAAGCACGCTCTGGACCAATCGGATAGCTAGTTTAAAATCTAGGCCACAAATCTGGGTCGATCAGCTGATAGATAGGATCAAAGTTCATGACCCGAACGATGAACTTTGCTCTACTCGTAGAAGCGCTGGACTGCCTTATTATTTTCAAGTTTGACGAAATAAGCTAATTTTGTTTACGACACGTTTCAAAGTTGTATGTTTGTATATGTGCAAGCATTCACTCGTACATCAACACACAAATTCGCAGGCCATTGTAGTTACTGAACCTGCAGTGAACAACAGCAAATGCTTCAACTTCTTGATGAACAACCTCATGTCTATTGCTTTGCGTCCAATTGTTAAGGAAGAAACTCAACATGTTTGTATATTTTGTGTGTGTGTGTGTGCGTCTGTGTGTGGTGTGTGTGTGTGTGTGGTGTGTGTGTGTGTGTGAAACATACAAACACACATACAATCAATCAACCAGCCAATCAACGAACAATTACATCAATCTGCGAATGACAGGTCCACAGTCGAAACATATTACGAGCTCTAATTAGAGATTCGACATTAACCGACCGGATCCAACCATTCATCAGCGATGGCATAAAATCCGCCATACTGGGGTACAACTCTGAATACTGGCAGATTAGGAATTCGTCTACACTTTTGTTTAGTGCAATAGTTAGGAAAATATTTGGGGTAAAAAATTCAGCTTTATCCGTGCATGTTTCATCATCGTCATCCTCTCCAAGATGTTTAGGGTAGTTATTTATTTTAATAAAATTAACATTTCAACGGCAAATAGTATTAGTATTTCATATTGAAACTGTAATTACTGATCAGTATTAAGTTTTTATAACAAATATCTAGTGACCGGGTATGTGTATGTGTGTCTTTGATATCCTGAATGATCTTTAACCTTCGACCTTTAGCACCATATCGTGAAATGATATTAACATGCATGCTACTGTATTGTTACAGAATGTCTTGCAGAGCGTTTTTCTCGAAATATCCACACCTCTTTGAGTACTTCAAACTGCAGTTAGAAGCTGCCGGCTCAAAATCGTCATCGTCATCATCATCAGCGGCAACAACGTCATCATCATCAGCAGCGACAACAATGTCATCATCATCAACAACAACATCGTCATCATCACATGGGTAATGTTTTAATTTTTAAATTTGGATGTGCCAAAGTGATATATAATGATTAAGTTAGTCGTGACGATGATGACAGTCAGAATGCCTGTGAGGATGATGATGATAATGATTATGACGATGGTGATGATGATGATGATGATTATGATCTATTTTTAGCTCTGCTGTCGACCAGCCGGGAGTGTTCATGGTGCTAGCCTTACTCACTAATCTCAGTTCTTCATACAATGATGACACCAATCCACATTTAAATGTACAGTCTTTGGTACATTTGGTGGCTAGGTAGGCCAGGTGATAATGTTGATGATGGTAATGATGAGGATTGTGATGATAATGGTTTTGATGACGATGTTTTTTTACAAGGTTTTTTTTACATCCTGTGTTATCATTACATTATGATTACATAACCGTCCAACATGCATAGATATCGCAGCAGTCCTATACTGAAAATACGCAAGATGGCGTCAGAGGCTGTTTGTTCTTTGCTTACCAAAGATCAAATAAATGATTATTTGATTTCTCTATTCGAGGATTTGATTGGCAGATTGAAATTTAAACTGGCCAATCAGAATTACCTTCATGGATCGTTCGTACAGGTTGTTCGTGAGCTACGCCCACAATCATTATCATCAACATACGCATCGTCACGGTCATCATCATCATCAAGAATATAATCATCATCACCATCTCAATCATCATCACTGCAATAAAATTTACTGTTAACATTATTGTATCGAGTGAAGGGTATTAAATACATATAGATCATATTACATAATAATAATAATAGTAATAATAGAATTATTATTATTAACACTAATAATAAATGTTATTGAAAATAGATTTCTTTGCTATTGAATCACGTGACCAGCAAGGAAGGAAATGACGTCAACATCGCCAGTAAACTCGTTTCATATGTACACGAAATCAAATGGCTATTTTCAAGGTAGACACTTTTTTTCGTTACTTGTAATGATGATGATAATAATAATAATAACAATGACAATAATTATGACAACAACAACAACAATAATAATAATAATAATATGACGTCACAGCGTAAATGCCTGTTTCACAACTCGCCACCAATTCGGTGTCATTATAATGAAGCTCCTGACGATGATGATGGTGATGATGACGATGAAGAAGAAGAAATATGGCGATGATAATGATAACGACGCTGCTGCTGCTGCTGGTGGCAGTGGTGATAATGATCATTATTCATCGCTATCATCTTATTTTATCTCTCAGTTTAAAAGGGAATTTAAATTAAATTGTGAAATTGAAAATTTTTCTTCTGCTGCTGATGCTGCTACGGATGTTACTACAACTGCTGCTACTACTACTGCTAATACTACTACTACTACTACTACTACTACTACTACTAATAATAATAATAATAATAATAATAATGATAATAATGAATATGTACAATGTCCAGATTATTATAAATTCATAACTTTCCTAGTAAGAAATTCCCTCTTGTTACTTTCGCTAAATCTTGATAATGACTTTGGTAAAAATAATAATAATATTAATAATAATAATAGTAATAATAATAATAATATTAGTGGTAATAATGATTTTTTTGACGTCGTATTGACCACGTTACTCGCTACGTCATCGATCAGTGATGTGCGGTTAGAAGTTTTAAAATTCGTCAGAAAAATTGCATCATCATTCGGTGTTATTAATAATAATAGTGATAGCCACAACAAGAGCAACTATAATAATAATATTGAAGATGACGATGAGGAGGAAGACGATTATTTTTATTATATTATTAATAATTATATCAAAAATAATAAAAATGTGACGATGAGGAAGATGACAACGATGAAAGAGATTATTGTAAAGGGTCTTACGGATAGAATTGTAGAGCTTATCATGGCCTACTCCTATTCTAATGATGAAGATGACGATAATAATAAGAATAACAATAACCATCATCGTCGTCATCATCATCCCTTCGTTACGCTAGAAGCTTTAAAAATTATGGTAAACTTGCTTAAGTGTAGTCACAATGACAACAACAATAATAATGGTAGAGGTAGTATCTCTTACGTACTTGAAAGAAATTCAATGATAAAGGTTTGCACTTGGTGGAATAATAATTATCATTATTTTGATTATTGTTATTATTATTATATTATTATTGTTATTATATTATTATTGTTATTATTATTATTATTTAGCTCATGGAGAAATGCTTGGAACTTGGAAAGCACTGCAAGATGTTGGTGTTAATTAGTTGTTTTTTTTTCTTATTTTTTGTTGTTCATTTTCAAATAAAATCTTTTTTTTTATACAAATAAATATTTATTTAATTATACTCATAAGGAGAATAATAATAATTTATAGAGATGCCATAAGAGTTAAATCGATGGCTGTGTGTTGTTACTTGTGTCGGGTATTGTTCGACAGAAATGATGACGACGACGAAGATAAAAGTTATGATAACGTTAGCATTGTGTGTGTGCGTGCGTATGTGTGTGTGCTTGTATGTGTGTGATAATTATGATAATGTTGGTTGTATACGCAAGTTATTTGATGATGGTTCGGATGATGATGATGATGATGAAGATGATGATAATGATAATACTTTAACAGATTTCTGGCCTAAAATTCGTCTACTTCAAATTAATTTCATCTCTATGTTCTATGGAAAGCTCGTCAAATGACTTGAAATTAGTTCTATGTTCGACATTCAACACGAATTTTAAATTGATGTTAATTGACGTCAGAGATTCGTCTATAGGTTGGTTGGTTGGTTAGCTGGCTGGTTGGTTGGTTGGCTGGTTGGTTGGTTGGCTGGTTGGTTGGTTGGTTGGTTGTTTGGTTGGTTGTTTGAAAGTAGTAGGATGATTCTGATATATGAATGATAAAAAAATATGAAACACAAAGGTTGTACTTTATACCTCAATTGGACCAGCGTGCTACTGCTGCTGCAAGATGAGGATGCTGACGTTAGGAAACTCATCTCATCATCAGTTCTCAAACTTTATCATCATCATCATCATCGTAATTCCGGTGACGTCATTGGGAATCCCTCTAATGATAATGACGTAAAAAATATAGCAGAAGGTTTTAGAAATTAGTCTTAGTGTATTTTTTCACTTTAGTAATATGTTTTCAATTTTTTTTTCTAACAGCTTTGAACCCGGATTATGCATTGAAACTAGCCCTAGAGTTATTTGTCAACATTCACTGTTTTGACGAAACGCGTTCTGATTGGTCGAAAAGGGGCCTCTCCACTCTTTCTCATTGGCTGGCCTGTGACTTAGTTAATTATTCAGATGTAAGTAGTGGCCTTTACTACTTGTTTATCACTATTTTTAGAACAATCGTTCAAAAATCTCAACCTATTATATGATAATAATGCTATGTTTATTCAGAATCGAGATATCAGATTGTTTGATAGGGGCATGTTGAATCCGTATAAAGACGACTTTATGTTTGTCGTCAGCATTTTGAAAGTCATTCATAAAGTTAATAATAATAATAATAATAATAATAATAATAATAACAAGAACAACAATAACAATATTGATGCCGCCAATCTAATATGCTGCTTCAGTACAAAGTGCAAGAATCATAACGACAATGATAACGAAAATGAAGTCGACGACGACGATGGTGATGACAATTATAATGACGATGATGATTTCAGTGCAGCTTGTCCATGTTGTCATCATTTAGAAAACTGGACCGACAAAGGCACATTGAATAATTGGTTGGTTAGTTTAACCAAAAATCTTGCATCCACGTCAAGACAACTCCAAAGAACAAATATCGAGATCATAACCAGGAGGACTGTTTTTAAAAATCTATCCCTTGATTTTCTTAGGACATTTAGTTCGATCTCATTAGTCCAGAGATATCTCATGAATATTAATGGATGTGATAATTCAGCCAATCAGAGCAGCTGCAAAGAATCGGTCCAAGATCTGATTGGTTCTGATTTAAACTATGACGAATTATTGGCTCACGTTGTTTATTTAGTAGACCATTCATAAATTTTTCATCACAAATAGGCATTATTAACAGTATTTGTAATGCTTATCGCGTATTACCAAAAATTATTTTCGCGTTTTATATACTATATAGCTCTACTCCGAATCCATTAACGAGTTGGCTTATTTTTTATTTCTGTATGTTCTTATATTGTTATAATAATTGTTTTATTTATTTAATTAGGAATTTATTTGATAAAAACGACAATGATATTTTTCACCTAATCTTTTATTAATAGCATCCATTGAATTTGGAATTTCATTCAAATGCAGTCTGAATTGACGAAACCGTGAGAAAAAATTTATGTATATATATCTGAATTCGCCAAAATAAATGAATGAATAAAATAAATATATAAGTAAATAAAATGAAAAATAAGTGAAACTAATCTATTTATTTAATTATAAACTTATAGAATTAATAATATTACGTAATGAATTCGTAGTGAAGTGATGTTTATTTTTGTCAAACGAAAGATTTTTTTAAATAACAATTTGCAGTGAATCGAGAATTTTCACTATCCATCTCACAATATAATATGACGTGTTTGTCGAATTTGACATAAGAAATTCATCAGAATTTTATAAAACTCAAAAAAAGAGAGAAGACAAATAAGTGTGATAAGCAAATAGAAAAAAATGAATGACTTGTAATAAACAAACTAAATAAGCTATGTTTTTTTTCAAGCATTTGATGAAAAATTTAAATAAGGTTTTACCACCCAAGACTAACAAACAGAGGAACAAACAAAATAACAAACAAACAAATGAAAGACACACACACACACACACGAATCATACCACTGCTACAAACCTAGCCAATCATATCAGTAATAAACAAATAAGAAAGAGAATCGATGAATGACAAAAAAAATAGCTAAAAACTTCGATCATCGAGCTCGGGCCTAATCTGCCTAATTTCCCTAATTCACTTATACAAAATGTCGTAGTGGCCGGGCCTGTACATGAGTGTGATGGAGGGGGTGAGGTTATCAGGGAACACGTGATTATTTAGGCTGTCACTGCGGTCCAGGTATTCGATTCGTACCCCAATGTTGGTGCACGTGGTCAGGGCAATCACGTGGATCTGGTCACTTTCCTTGTTCATTGGCTCCACTTCCTGGCGATTTATTATTATTTTTAATAGTTTCCTTATAATGTAGTTATCTATATTGTTAGCATTAGTATAGATGGTCTAGATTGTTTTACAGCGAATATGCTATCAGTGGGTCTAATACGAAAGATACATATACATATATTTAAATAACAGGAATGTGTGTGCGTGCGTGTGTCTGTGTGGTTGTGTGTGTGCGTGCATGAAAAGCACCTGAGAACAGAAATCCTTCATGGTTTTATGATCTTCAAGGAAGCAAGAATAGAAGTCACTATTCTGCTGGAGATGGCCTGACACCAACAGCCTAAATAACATTAACAACATTAATAATAATAATTATTATTATTAAAATATAAAAACAATAATAATAATAATAACTAAAATGGGTAATTAACCTTAGGAAAACGACGATGTAATCAGAAGTGCTTTGGTCATTTATCACTTCTAACAGCTTCTCAAGTGATTTTTCAGAATTTATCAAATCAAGGGTTTCCACAAACTGATGAAGAGAAATTAATTGTAATTATGATATTCATCTTTTCCTTCCTTCCTTCCTTTATTCATTCGTTCATTCATTCATTCATTTAAGTTAATTTAAACATAAATCCAATGTATGTGTCCATTGAATTTCATTTATATATAGAAATCTACATAAGTGTGAGTTGTATTTTAAAAAATTAAAAGAGTTCTATTAGAAAGAAAATTAAATTATTAAAAAGTGAATTCAGAAGAAAGACTGACGACAGTGTAAAAATCCTCAACGGTACACTCAGGAAAGCCGAGCGATACTAATTCATCTTTGCACCCTGTAGCTACATCTCGAAACCTGACGTAAAAAATTAAAAAGTTCTAACTTTTATAACTTGAAGATATCTTAAAACAGCTCTTTATATAAAAATAATTTTCCAACAAGATTAATTTTATGAATATTTCAATTTATTGTATACTCGTATATACTCATACATATATAGAGCTCATGTCTTTCAACCTGATCCTAACACATAACATAAATATTTTTACCTGTATATATGCAAAGCATTATTTCCCTAACTGAATCAAAATCCTAGGAGAGTAGCCAAAAAGTGAAACTTTACCAATAATGAAAATTTCAATGGAAATTACCGCAGGCATTCCTCAGGCTTGTCGAGGAAGTTTTCGAGGCATGCAAAACCGAAAGCCCTGTAGAAGCAATTGCCATCACCTCTCACTCTCCTGAAGTTTGAGTACCTCTGTTTTAAGATCTGGAAAGGATGAGTTGTTCAACTGTTATCATATTTAAACATCATGTAGTTAATACACATAGTTATACATATATACATTAAAGAGAGATGGAGAGAAAAAAAAGAGAGAAAAAAGAGAGAGAGAGGGAGAGAAAAAAATATATAGAAATTTGATAATTATAATATTCTGAAAATACCTGAACTTTTCTGACAAATATGTCATCAGAAGCCATCTCGGTCTCCAAATTACCTAAATCTTCTAATTCACCAATCAGAAGCTGAGAATTCATAATCTAAAAAAATTAAATTTATTTATTTTTAATATTAGAAAACAATTAAAATTAATAAATTTCTAATAATTATTAAATGGTAGTAATTAAAACATATACCTTATTCTACAAAATTAAAGAAAAAGCTTAAACTCTAATAAAATAAATATTTTTAAAACACAAATCTTTTTTAATAAACATTTTTTGAAAATTTATAAAAAATGAAAAGAAGAACAAATAAAAAAAAATTTAAAAGTTATTTAAAAATTTGAAAAAAAAATTAAAAACCAACTTCTTCTTCAATGTCTCTCTGCTGCCTCATAGTTGCTTCGTCATAGTTTACATCTTTTTAAAAAAATTACAATTGTAATAAATTCATTCGGAAATTTTAAAAAATAATTTAATTTAAAAAATATTTTTATTTATTATTATTTCAATTATAAAATAAATAAGCTAAAAAATAGGTAACAAAAGCAGTGAAATAACTTGAATGAAATAAAAATACCTGAGTTGTAGTGAAAATCAGTGTGTTCCGCCATTACAAATTTAGTGCAATTGATAATTTATTTGTCCTAAAAAATAAACGAAAAGAATTTCGAGCTAATTTGTCAAACTTTAAAAACTAAAAATGAATTGTAATGTAACGATGTAACCAGAGCAGATGTACATAGAACGCGGAAATAAGATTTTTTAATATTTTAAAATTTAATTGCAAAAATTTTTATTTTATTAATTATTAATTTAATATTTTTTATAGTTGTTAATTTTAAATTATATATCGTTGAAAAAAGTTAACTTAGTACGTTAATATTAAAAATAGTTTACATTTAATACAATTTAAAAGTAAACCAAATGTTTTTATTTAAAAGTAGAATTCAAATTAATGAAACATCAGAAATATGAAATGCTTTTCATGAATCCCCCAACAAAAAGATGCCGTTAAAACAGGAGTACGTGATCAAGGTTTGAATTTTATCACAAAATAAGTTGTATTTGATAAATTTAATGAAATTAACTTTTTATATTTCTCCCTAATTAAAGATTTTAGGTTTAAGATTTTGCTCATCATCACCCTCAAAGCACGATTGGATAGGACCGGCCGACAAAGTTTCCAACTTGCGTCCATTGAAGTTCTACAAAAAGAAGAGAGAATCAAAGAGAGAGGAAGAGTTGAGAATTTTTAGAGAGGACACCCAGGCATGGAATCAAGAGTTTTGGAGAAAGCATAATGATAATTTTACAATGGTTAGTATTTGGGGCACTGCTTTATTAATTTTTTCCTAACTTTTTCAATAGAGATTACACTACAGCTAAGTTTTTTTTAATTTTTGAATACTTTTTATATTGTTTGCCTTCTAAAATTCAGATGAAGAAGGAATACATAAAAGAAAATGGAAAAGATAAGAACCTAACAACAGCTGAGATGGGAATATTCTACAAGAAATTCCTTGATGATAATTACAGAATACACCTTCAATACAACAAGTATGACAATTGTCGTTATAATAATATTAATAATAATATAATATAGTTAAATATAATAGCAGTAATAATTTTATATTATTAATAAATAATTTTACCAATAAAATACAAATTTTTTCATTTATTTCAAGTCTTGATAATTTTCCTATGCACAGATCATGGTACTTGAAAAACTTCAAAATTCTCTGGCTAACTGTTTTAGTTCAGTTTGAAAAAATTTTCAAAAAATGAAAATGGTGAAAGAAGTGTGTTGTTATTTTTCTTTTGTTTTATCTTATTTAAAATTTGACTTTGAAATTCTTTCAAAAAAATTAAGATAGAATTATTTATTAAAGATGTACAATCAAATAAAAAACTTAAGCCACTCTTCTTCTTCTTCTTTCTCTATCTTTTCAGGACATTGTCGACCATCGACCTCCACAAAATCTGATCTTTAACACTTTGTAGTAGTTGAAATGTGGTGATATTCAACAAGTGATACAAGGACTTCACGAATGTTATTCATTGTTGACCGTGATGTCTTTTCCCTGCAATCTATCCAGTAGTTGTTAGATTTTTAGGCCAGCAAATTGAAATAAAAACACGTGAATCTACGAATATGTTGTATTGGCTAAAGAATCCTTGTCATGTGCATCGGTGACCAGGTTCAAATGTATTAGGTACTCACCCTGAGAACAAGCAAAGATTATTTGATGCATTTATGTATTCTGTGCGTGTATGTGTGTGTGTGCGCGTATGTGTATATGTAGTGGGCGCGAACAAATTATAACACGTAAGATAGATGCATGCATGCTAATGCATGCAAAATTTTTGCTCTTATTGAAACATACATACCTGGTCTCACACCTTTATTATATATATACATATATATGTATATATATATATATATATATACTTATACATATGCATACATACATATGTATATATGCATTGTTAACTTATACTATGTACACTATAATCCATGATGATACACTAGCGAATGTTTGTTTAAAGAGCAATGCATGCTTTTTAATTGCCATTGCCATATAATTGTACATGTGTATATATATATACTATAAATATACTATATAACATATGTATGTATATATAACTTTTATAAAGTATATAATAGTAATTTTAATGATAGTTTCTGTTAGGTTCGCTTCGCATATATGTGCATGCAACTAACTATTGCAAAGCAGAATATATCGAGTGATTCGATCAGATAATGCTGTTAAATTATACCGTTATCACGTGATAATTATGTTAATTTAAGTATTTTTACCGTACTTTCGTAAACTTAGACTAAGTATGTTTGTACTATGTTTTAGTATAGGTAAAGTATTAATACTGTAATAATTGTGATCTATTCATACATAAGTAACGTTCGTACATACATACTTACATACAGACAGATATATATCTGCTTTGAAGTACTTTCTGCTGTTACTTGTAGTAGTAGCAGTAGTATTGTTAGTTATAATTCTTATAATATCTTAAGAGTGATGAATAAATGAATAATTAGATCGTAAATTCGGATACCACCATATAAAAGTACACACTGGACATGGATATAGCGAAAGGAATTGCCGAAAAAGTGTTAGTTTTTTCATTTTTCTTTCTTTCTTCATTCAAGAAAGCATAACAAAAAAGCATTGAAAACGTTGAACAGTGTATACAAACATGTATGTGCGTGCTACAAACAATTACTTAATCTCCGTCTATTATTATCAACTCTAACCAATTTTAATGAATTATAATTAATTGATGAACTGGATGTGTCATGCAATTCATTATTGTCAAAGCTTATGATAAGCAATGATTTCTTCTTGACTGAACGTTCTAACTACTGAGCAGAGCATATAAATTGCGTTTGAAACAAGTCGCTACGTTATTTTCGCTAGGTTCTCTACCTTCTGAGCTACCGGACAATCGTCTATTTTTCAATCTTTAATCACTCATTCGATAGAAATTAATATTAATTAACGATTATGATAATTTTTCGAAGCACGCAGATGGTGATGAACTACAGTGAGATAGAGATGAAAGTGAGGGAGGCCACCAACGACGAACCCTGGGGCCCAACGGGAGTTCTCTTGCAAGAACTGGCCAGGGAGACAAATGGGTTATTATTATTATTATTGTTATTATTATTATTGTTATTGTTATTTTTAATAGCAGCAGTAGTAGTGTAGTGGCGATTGTAGTAGTAATTGTAGTAGCGTTATTATTATAAGTAATAGTGGTAGTTGTGGCTTCTGTAGCAAAGTAGCAGCAGCAGTAGTAGTCGTAGTAACAGCGATAGTAGTAGTCGCTTGAATTGTAGCAGTAGTACTAGCAAGCAGCAGCAGTAGTAGTAGTAGTAGTAGTAGCAGCAGCAGTGGTAGTGGTAGCAGCAGCTGTAGTAGTAGTAGTAGTAGTAGTAGTAGTAGTAGTAATACTACAATTAATCCATTTATAATTATTAATATTACTACAACTTGAAATTACTTGACAGTTACGAAGGTTATGCCGACGTCATGTGCATGTTGTGGCGCAGAATGCTTCACGACAATAAGAAGCAATGGAGGCGCGTCTACAAGGTGACAATTTATTTTTTTTATTTTATTTTAATTTTTGTTCCAAATGTTTTATAATTATAAAGATATAAAGAGAGAGAGAGAGAGAGAGAGAGAGAGAGAGAGAGAGAGAGAGAGAGAGAGAGAGAAATAAAGAAATAAAGAGATGAATCTTGAGAAAAAGAAAAGAGAGAGAGAGAGTGAGAGAGAGAGAGAGAAATGATAAGAAATTTGACACCACCTAAAAAATTTTATGGCAAAATTTATACCGCAATTTTTTAGCGCGATTCAAATGAACATTGAAAATGGTTAAAATGAATGGTGAATAATAACGATAAAAGTAGTAATATTGGTAATTATAATAATAATAATAATAATAATAATAAAGCCCCCAATGTATGATATTTCAGTCACTGGTGGTTCTGTCTTACTTACTAAAACACGGATCGGATATGGTGGTGGAGAGCGCCCATGAACATTTCTACGATATAAAATCATTACTGCATTTTAAATGCCTCGATGAAACCGGAAAAGATCATGGAGTTAACGGTGAGAGGAGACTTTGATCAGTATCATCATCCTCTTCTTCCTCTTCCTCCTTCTAATCCTCCTCATCATCATCATCGTCATCATCACTGCCTCTATCATCGTCATCACAATCACCATTCCAACTAAATCATCTTTCTTATCATTACAACATCACAATCACTAGCTTCACTACCATCACTACAACCATCATCACAATTATCATCATCGTCGTCGTTGATATCATTATCATCATCATCGTCATCATCATTACCAGTAAGGCAAAAGGTCAAGGACATAGTTGACCTATTAGATGACGCGGAGAAACTTCGCAGTGCCAGAGATGTAGCCAGTAAGAATGCAAACAAGATCATTGGTTTTTCCAAAGAGCTTGCGGATAATCATAGTATGGAAGGGGTTTTCCCGTAATAATAATAATAATAATAACATAAATAAAAATAATAATTATTGTCAAATAATAATTATTGTCATTATAATTGTTGTTGATGTTGTTGTGTTTATCATTGTCATGATTGTCGTTGTTGCTTTGTTGTCATCTTCTAGATTACAACGTATTTTTTTATTTAAACTCTGGCGAGAAATACCAAGAGAGAGAGAGAAAGAAAGAGAGAGAGAGAGAGAGAAGGGGACAGAAAAAAGAAAGAAAGAGAGATAGCGAGAAAGAAAGAGAGATAAAGAAAGAGAGTGATAAAGAAAGAGATGAAGTGAAAGACAAAAAGTAAAAAAAATTACAGCCATCTTATATCATTACCTTTGATTCATTTTCACCTGTCTTATATTGCAGTCATCATCAACATCACCGTCGTCTTCGTCATCATCTTTGCTTATTATTATTATCATTATTATTATTATTATTATTAGTAGTAGTAGTAAAAGTAGTAGTAGTAGTAGTTATTGCTATCATCATCATCATTATTATTATCACATTTAGTTGACAAATGGCGAACAAGTGGCGACGATTACACGTCTGATTATAACAACACGTAAGATTACCACATGTGTGTTTGTGTGTGTTTGTGTGAATGTGCGTGTATGTGTGTCTTTGTGTTTGTTTGTATGAATGTCTCTTACGTGATTATGTCTTGTCTACTTGTATATGTGTGTGTGTGTTGGTAATAGACCACAATTTTTACGATATTCTATAAATTCTACCGAATGTTTGGCGTTAATATGTTTGTAGTTCGTTTGTGTGTGTGTATATGTATGTGTGGTGGGTGTGTGTGTGTGTGTGTGTATTAATACGTGCGTGTTTACATATGTGTTTGTGTTCATGTTCGCATAAATTAACATAAATTTGCATAAATTATAACGCCTGCATACCAGGTCGGGTTCATATAGGGACTACAGAGATAACGCCGACTACGGTGATGATGATAAATATGATAACGTTTATCATCGCGACAGCAACAACAATAACAGCAACAATAATAATAATAACAACAATAATGATAATAAGTATTATGATGAAAGTAATAGCAGAAAGGATGTAAGAAATGATGAAGCCGATGACATTGATGATGAGGATTTTGACCCTAGGAAAGATGAATCCGGACGTAATAATAACAACAATAAGAGAAATAATATTAATAATAATAAGAGTAATAATAATAATAATAAAAGTAGTAATAATAATAACACAAGTAAACTAAAAAACAAAAATATTAATAACGATATTAAGATAAAGCTGGAGATTAAAGTACCGAATGCTCCGACTGGCACAGGTAACTTGATATAGTTGTAGGAGAGGTTGTAGTAGTAGCAGCAGTAGTAGAAGAAGTCGTAGGAGAGGTTGTAGTAGCAGCAGCAGTAGTAGAAGTAGTAGTTGTTGTAGCAGTAGTTGTAGCAGTGGCAGTAGTAGTAGCAGTATTGTAAGTAAAATTTATTTAATGTATACATATATCTATCTATTCCTTCCTTTTCAGAAGCTGATACAGGATTCGGTGAGTTTAGCGAGTTTACACCGGATGCCAACAACAACATTACCAACAACAGCCTTTTAACATTTGACATCAACAACAGCAATGATAGGTCTCCCCCTACAAACAACAACAGCAATGAAATTTGTGACATCTTGGGCATCAACGATTTAGACCCGCTAAATCACGGCGGCAGTAGCAACAACAACATCATTGTCAACAACAACATAATTAATACCACAACACCTCCATGCATCAACAACAACAACAACAACATGCTTACTAACTTAACTTACAATTCCAATTCAAGCAATTTTGTCGCTTTACAACAGCAACAGGCTTTTTTGACGCAAAGACCGATGCTACAACAATCATACCTACCACAACAACAAATGTTGATAACGCAGCAGCAACAGCAGCGACTCCAGCAGCAGCAGCAATATCATCGACAACTTTCTTATCCATTCGCTCATCAATTATCACCAACATCCCCTACCTTCAATCCGATTGGTCACTATCAACCGGCCATATTTTCAAGCCAACCAATCAGGAATCAGATAATCGGGTCGCCGTCAGCTATGTCGACCAATTATAATGATAAATCACTAATTTGACATACTTTTATGTTAAACGTTTTGCATTTTTCACAGTTTTATTGTTTTATGTTCACTAATTTACGTTCACATGAAAAAGCTTACACTCTAGCGAATAAAAACTAACACAAAATTTTACACTCTAGCGAATAGATTTTTTACGAAACTGTTTTTTTCTCAAGTGTGATTCAATCCTTTTCTGATTGATTTGGCTTTAATTATTATTATTATTATTATTGATTTATTTTTATTATAAATAATATTCATCATAAAATAATAATTAGCAAGTTCAATTTATGTCTATTTTATATTTTTGTATCAATTTCTGAAAAAAACTTTTATTATTATTTTATTATTATTTTATTATTATTATTCTATTATTTTACGCATATAATACAAATTATTATTATCCATGGACTATTGTGATACAAAAATGAAGTATTTTTTCTACGCTATTTTCCCTACCGATTATTATTTAATTCATTGGCAATGTATAAATCAATCACACGTACACATATAGACACTGATACCACACACACACACACACACACACACACACCACACACACACACACACATAAATATATATATTCTCTCTCGAGAATTAGAAGTTAAAAAGAGGGTAGTTCAAAACTTGTCGAATCAACTAACTGAATTCAATAGGATCGAAAAAACGAACTACAAACATATTAACGCCAAACATTCGGTAAAATTTATAGAATATTGTAAAAATATATATATATATATATGTGTGTGTGTGTGCGTGTGTGCGTGTGTGTCAGTGTATCTTTGATTTTTGATTGTATGATTGACCACAAATCTGTAAAACACTGCATATCATAGATTTTCATTTTTGATTGATAAAGTGATTGATTGACTGATTAAATTATTGATTGATTGGTTAATTGATTGAGTGATTGATTGATAAACTGGTTGATTGATTGGGTAAGTTTTTTGGTTGGTTGGCTATTTGATTTGATGATTGATCGACCGTTCGATTGTTTAGTTGATTTGAATTCAAACCGCTAATGAAAAAAATTTTTTATTTTTATAATTAGCTAGCATTTTTAATGTTGACTGGGGTTTATAAAATCCAGAAGAACGCATTTTAAAGCGAAGCATTTTTTTGTTATGTTTGATTTATTAAAATATCACATATCTGTTATATTTTCTGTTATTCAGTTATAATTTGTAACTCACTGATTAACATAATCTGTTTATATTGTGGACACACACACACACACACACACACACACACACACGCACGCACACACACACCACACACACACACCAAGTTACACGTACAAACATACATGTGCATACATACATACGTAAGTTTATATCAATTTTGTGAAATAATTATTGAAATCTCCTTTATTTTTTTTTCACTCTCTCTCTCTCCTCCTTTATTCCTTTCTATATAAAAATATTATTATAAGATTAATAAGAACAAATGTAACCAATTAGAAAACTCCAGAAACAAAATAATATTAATAATAATAATAACTCTTCTAGATAAACTCATCAACTACAGCCAAGCCAACCGACCACCAGACAAACAACTTAATTAATATTCACGAGAAAGTCAATAAGCCACGCCTACAATTTTTTCACGCGCCAATGAACGCGTGCAGACGTGCGTGCAAAAATGGACACGCCCTAATTTCTGATTGGCACTTGAATTAATGACGTCACCTAATCACCCTGTTGTTTGTGTAGGTGATTTTTGGTTTATATATGGTTTGGTTGTATTTTTGTTTGTTTGCGCATATATGTATGTATGTTTGTTTGTTTGTTTGCGTTTGTATGTATGCATGTGTATATGTATGTTTGTTTGTTTGTATTTTGTATGTTTTTTTTTAAGAATGTTTTGACATTTCGTTTTAATTTTATTAAAATTTTTGCTCATATGCCTATTTGAACGTTTTTTATTGTTTGGTTTTCTAATCCATCTATCCATCCATCCATCCATCCATCCATCCATCCATCCATCCATCCATTCATCCATCTAGCTATCGCGCACACGAGTAGAGCGCGCCAAGGGATTGTTTTCTTTTGATGTAGTTGTTATGTAAACAAACAACGATCCAGGTAGATGACGTCACATAGTTGACCTACTTTTTGATGTTAAATAGGACAACAGGAAATGGCTGCAGGTGGAGAGAGAGAAAGGAGAGAGAGAGAGAGAAAGAGAGAGAGTGATTGAAATATTAATTATCGTGTTTTTTGATTTTTGGTTCATATTAGGATAGTCATTTCAACGACGACAATGTTGATGGTGATGAGTTGTTGTTGATGATGCTGCTGATGATGATGCTGCTGATGATGATGTTGATGTTGCTGATGATGATACTAATGCTAAAAGGAGCAGACTAATAACCTCGCGTACCCATCACACCCACCCAATTAAATTCGAATGCACTTTTCAACATGTTATTATTTTTCCCATCAGAGACTAACGATGCGTTCCTAGGCAGACAGCGTGTTAACGAATTTGAAACACGCACACATGCACACACACACGCACGCACACACACACACGCACACACTGTCACGCATATTTTCAGATATATAAATATCATTATATATATTTATATAATATATATATTTGATCTAATTTATTAATTTTATCACTATTTTGAAAGTTTCCATCACCATCATCAACCGCAACTACAATAACATCATCGCTATTGGAGGGGGGCAACAACATCATCATCATCATCATCCTCATCTTCTTCAGAGCTCCATCATCTCTTCTGCATCGGCATCATCATCATCATCGTCATCATTAATGTCTTCTTGTCTTCATTATTATTCACTCTTGGGTGTCTTCTGCCTTACACACGGAACGAACCCACACACACACACACACACACACAAACACACATACACACACACACAAACACACACGCATTTGTATATACACACATATATAAACACAACTACATCAAAAACAGCCTATATAGCATTAATTACATATCTTGATTCTACCTCACTCATACTCTTATTAATTGAGCAAATGTTTGGTATCTATAAACTAGCAAAAATAAAAATAATATTGAAACGATAACAACAACAATAATAATAATTAATGATGATATTATTAATAATTAACATAATTATAAACGCTTAATCCTTCAAGAAATAATTTTATAAAGGTTTTAACAAGGGGTTATTGGCTTCGTATATAAATAAATCCAATCCTTGATATGCTGTTTCTATGTGTTGTTGTTGATGATGTTGCTGTTGTTGTAGCTGTTGTTGTTGTTTACGTTGATATAGTAACCTGTCATTTGCTGACGACGACGATGGCGTCATAAATGAATATTGTTGATGTTGCTGGAGGTGGTCAAAATATTGTTGTTGTTGTTGATGTTGTTGTTGATGATGATGTTGTTGTTGTTTGATTTGCTGATCGACTGCATAACTATTGTATGGGTCTTGAAATATGGAGCACGAATTTGCAAGCTGTGGTTGATGAAGGTGATGATGCTGCTGCAACTGCTGCTGATGGTGATGATGATAATTTTGTTGTTGTTGTTGATTTTGGACATTGTAGTACGCCAAAGAAAAATGATTTTGTTGTTGTTGTTGTTGGAACTTTTTGTCATCAGCTAACGATTCTAAATCTACTTTTAGCGGATCATTTTTCGTTTGGATTTCGATTTTTCTATTTCTAGACTCGTCGATTTTAGGGACAAAGTTATTATTATTATTATTGTTATTATTATTGTTATTATTATTTATGTTGTTGTTGTTGTTGTTGTTGTTAAATTTTGTCGTAAGTTTTCTGTTTCTCGTTTGAATGCATTCTTTTTTCATTGTAATTGGTCGGTTGATCTGTTGTCGTTGTTGGATGTAGTAGTAGTAGTAGTAGTCGTGGTAGTAGTAGTAGTTGTTGTTGTTGTTGGAATATGAATGTTAGTAATTGATTTTTTCATATTGCCATCGCAAACAACAACATCAAAATGAACAACATCCCCAGCACATCAACAAATATAAAAAGTTAAAACAACAAACTAACAAACGAACGAACAAACAAACAAACGAACAAACAAACAAACGAACGAACAAACAAACGAACGAACGATCGAACGAACGAACAAACAAACGAACGAACAAACAAACAAATAAACGAAGCAAACAAACATAACCACCACCAACACTATGTAACTTATAATAGAGCCCGCATGCATTGCAGACAGGCTCTCCTTTGATATTCCTCCTCCATAGAGTTGTCGAAATCGTACTACAGTTACTGCATTTTGTACCAATCCTCCTACTTGAGTTCTGTATTTCGTGGGTATTTGGGTGGTATTTGATGAATATATATGGGTAAATAAGGGGTATTTCCAAAATATTTTGTGAGTAGTATTTGAGATATTATTTATATAAATAAATAATATATATGTGTTTATATGTGACTATTCAGTATGTGTAAATAATACTATCCAATAAATGATATATATTTGTCTTCATATGTGTCTATTCAGTATGTGTTTACCCTGTATGGAGAAATTTCCTTGATTATTCAATAGTATTTACATTACACGCACGCACACACACACACACACACGCACGTACATACATCAACAAGACGACACAACAAAACATACATGCTTCCTTCTTGGCTTAACGAGCGGCCTATTATGACCATTCATCTTGTAGTAGAGACCACAGGCGTTACAGAGGTAGTTACCCCCGCCATCCCTACGCCATAGGGGGGTTGAGGTGGCTCCACAGTTCACGCATTCTCTGCCATCTGGTGAGAAAAAATTGTTGTTAGTGTTGGTGTAGTTGTTGGGGTAGTAATCGTAGGAGTTGTCTCGGTTGTGGTGGTTTTTCTTTTGCAATTTACGTTAGCTTTTGTTACTTTACTTATGCTTTCTTTATTATATATCAATATAGTTAAAATAAGTAAAGAAAGTTAGAGAGAAAGAGTAAGAGAGAGAGAGAGAGAGAGAGAGAGAGAGAGAGAGAGAGAGAGAGAGATTGAACATGATTATTTTTCAAAGATTTTTTATGTACAGTGCATTGTAATTAGTAACACAAACACCTGTACACATGTGTATATGTATTTATGTTTAACTTATATAACTGCTTCATTCGTTTCCAAGTTTATGTCTATAATTTTCATAATTTCTAATAATTTTTTTAATAGTATTTGTTTGGATGATTATTTTAATAATTCATGCATTAATTTGTTCTTTAGTTCGTTCGTTCATTCGTGCGTACGTTCGTTCGTTCGTTCGTGCGTACGTTTGTTCATTCATCTTGTCGTACAACTATTCTTTCATTCATGTTTCCTGATTCGGCGTAACCTGACTTGTAAAAACAACAAACAACATCCTTCCATTCATCCGCTCAGTCTTTCATCCATCTATCTATTCATCTCTTTATTTATCCATCTATTCGTTTATCCATCCATCCATCCGTCTGTCCGTCCGTCCATCCATCCATCCGTCCGTCCATCCATCCGT